AACATTTTACCTAGATCTGCAATGTTTTGGTGTACCAAGAAAATCACTACATGCACTATATGCTGGAGCAAGTAGGACAAGGTAAAGTGAGATCCATCTCTCAATTGAATACAAATAGGCTAAGTCATATCACTCATAACATAGTAAGAACATGTGTTTATTATTGTCACAGTATTTATGATACTTTTACTTATCCATTCAAAATTGCAGCCTGGACTTTGAAATGAAAGCAATGAAAATGTGTAGGTCTAAAAAAATCTGCTGGGCATCTGGTTCAACCACAAACAACTAAATGGTGCTAAATTCCTATATGAAGTGGTCTGACCACTTTAATTCATCATTCCCACAGGCTCCAAACAACCCAAATGAGAATGCCAAAGTTAACTATGAGTTTCCTAATTTGACAACAGTTTCAAAACCTAGCAATGTTTCACTGCAAAGAAAAACAAATATCATAGTTTTTTTTTATTTTTTGTAAATACAGATTTGATAGTTATTCAGTATCTGGCACAATTTTAGACTCAAAACATTATAAAAAGAAATTAGAACAAAAAATGAAGATTAACTTAATGTCAAGGTATTATTTTTTTCACGTATTTCTAGAGATATTTCCACTATGGTTCCTTAAAACTGACTTCAATCACAGTCGTTTTTACTAATATTATGAGTAGTGGTACGCTAGCCAGCATGATATACAGTTTCCATAAAGATAAGTTCTTCAAGAAGCTCAATGTTCCAAATCACAATTGTGTCTCATGTACAACATCTTACTAGTGCTCCAAAATTGCAATTCTCCTTAGTGGAGTCTCGGTCTTTATTTTACTGTACCTGGAATTCTGAGATTCTGAAACATCTGATTCTGTGCACGTTTTCTTTACCTGTAAGAAAAGAGTACTAGTTATTCTCACATGAAAATACAACTTCCTCACTCAGGTTCACACGCTATTTAAAGTGGATACAGCTCTGTTCACCAAGTTCTCTATAAAATACCCCCCACACTTTACAGCAGCAGCATACAGTACTAAATAGTGTATTTCATTATTATCCCATGAACAGCTGCCAAATACACTTCCCTGGACTCCATTAGTATGTAAAATGTTCAGCTGAAATAACTGGGGACAAGCCTAACTAGGAACAAAGAAACCAAAGAACCAGGTTTCCCACTTAGGAACTAGAAAGCTATACTGTTCTCAATCCACTAAGAAATGTTTTTCCAATTGATACTGCTTCTGTCTCCTACTAAAAGCACATAATAATAAACACCAGGCTTTGAGGCAAAGCATAGCATTAACTAAAATGTTCATACACTAATTTTCATTTTCTCAATCTAGTGGCTCTATGTTTTATATATGTCTCCACATATCAATTAAGTTTAGCACTGCTTCACACATATATTTTCAGTATATCTTGCAGACTGTATTTCAACTTTGTGGTTTTTAACCCACGGAGGTAAAGGATGAGAATAACTCATACTTCTAGGGCACGCTACCTATTTCTGGACAAAAGTATGTGATACATCTCTAAAGATGGTGGAATCCATAGCTTTCCACAATTTCACTTCAAGCACATATATCTATATCTGATTATTATGGTCTTAAAAGTATATGCAGAGTAGACTAAACTTCAAAAATCTCTTGGTTAACATGAAAAATGTACAATATACATTTATAAGCCCACTATTTCTGGGAGTTCATATTTCAATAACTTAACTATGCAACCTACGGAATCCAAGGAGTTTTACTTCCAATACGTGGTTTGGAGGTAAAAAAAAAAAACAAACAAAAAAAAAAAACAAAAAAAAAAACTTCTACTGAATATATACTATGAGGAACATGTGTGCAATGTGAACTGCAATATGAACAGTACCACTTAAAAGTAAGTCTTATGCTTTGAAGATACAGCATTGTCTTTCCAACTCACAAAGTAATTTTTTCCTCCTCTGTCTCAGAAGAATGCTTAAAAAACAAACTCACAAAAACCCTACATTTTCAAAAATCCCTGTCTTTTGCTTTTAATACAAAGTCCAGACATTTTTATAATCTGGGAAATCAATTATTTTCTTGATTAACTCTGTAGTCTCTTTTGCATCTTGTGTATACACTTACACAATATGAAAATAAAACTGACCAGCAAAGAGATTGTCATCCTGTTTTATTATGTAATGTCTTCTATGCCCTTAACATGGTAATCAGTACCATGAGATGGAGGGGCAAAAAAAAAAAAAATGGTTTCAGAGAGAGAGAAGAGGAGAAGGAAAAGGAGGAGGAGGTAGAGAAGGAGGAGGAGGAGGGGGACAAGGGGATGAGGGGGAGAAGAGGAAGAAAAGGAAAAAGAGAAAGAAGAAGAGGAGGAGGAGAGGGAGAAGAGGAAGAAAGGAGGAGGAGGAAGGAAGGAAGGAATTAGAAATTCCTTTATATATTAAAATAACCATTTATCAGAGTGGTTATTTTTAGGGGTTTCATTCATTTGTTCATGATGAAATGAGAGAAGAATAATATTTAGGATACCATGACTACTCTAGGGGAAGTCTATCTAAAGTATTGTGAGTGTTCATAGAACAAACTAACCCAGCCAAAGGAATATGGAAAAGGCAATGAAGAAAGTGAGTTCTGAATTGAGTCTTCAAAGACTACATGTGGGAAATGGTAGGTATTTCAGTGTCAAGAAGTTTGCCAGAGGAAGCATATTATGAAGCCCTTATGTATGGTAAAGAGTTTGGAATTTAACCTTTGGTCAATGAAGACCATTGAAAGGTTGTTAAAAAACAAACTGGGTAGAGATGCTATAGAAGCTAATGTGGAAGGGGGATGAGGTGAGGGCTGAAAGTTGGGAAAAGCCTAACGCAACAAAAGAGATAGTAGAAGTTCCATGAAGGCAGAGATGGCATTGATCTCTGATCATCATATCCCCAGCCCTGAGCAGATCTCCCCAAATGCTACTTTGAACCATTCAATCTGTCAATGAGAGATGGTGAAGACCCAAATTAACACAGGAGCCATGGGGTGAACTGAGGGTGTTTTTGACAAACACTTCTGAGATAGAATTGACAGAATACTGTAATTGATTGAAGTATTAACTAGAATATTATCAGATCTTTTTAACTGTACTTGAAAAGAAAGTTGAGATATATTGAAGACAAAAAAGGTTATTTTATGACATCTTCAAATTACTTCAAAACCCTATCTTATTTCTGAATTAAGGTAGAAGAGTTAAAGGAATCATCAAGAAACATATTTCTAGTGTTCTGATCATAGAATTAGAGGCAAATGGATAATCTGAACACACTCTTCCATTTGAGACTTCATTAAATGGCAAGTGCTGAACCATATATGCTACATAAGCATATTCTTACAAAACATATAGAACCTTCAATGACTATCATTTAGGAAGGAGTGGAGTGGCTATTCACAGGTGCAATCATGGTACACTACAGTCTCAAACTCCTTGGTGCAAGCCATCCTCCTGCCTCAGCCTTCCATGTAACTGGGTCTACAGGCATGTACCATCACCCCAGGCTTACTTCTGAATGTGTTTTTGAATACAGTGGAAAACAAGCAGGCCAAGAAATGAGTCAGAATTTCATACCAAAAAGTTAAATTCAAATCCTAGTTTTCACAAGACACACCAGGGGGTGGGCAAATAAAAAAAAAACGTTGAAAATTGTTCCATAGAAACATATATACACACACACAACACACACACACATACCAAGAGAGAAAGGATGGATAGCGTAAATGAATGCAACTTGCTGCAATAAAATGAACTTTAACCTATGCAATATCTCTTCAGAGAAATTATAAAAATACAGGAAAATTCCAAGCACCATGAAAAGGAGTTAAATGTTTAACTATTTTAAGAAAAGTAACTATTAGTATTCAATGAAAACACAAATATCAAAATTCTAAATTTTTCAGATGAAGGAATGGATGAATAATAGCTAAAATTTTTGAGTGTTTACTACATGCCAGGCACAGTGCTTAGATATATACAATTTTCTTCCCAGTTCCCATATAGTAACACTGAGAAGCAGAAACATCAACTTGCAAGCAAGTTATGTAGCAGACTTCAAATTCAGATCTATGAGGGCATTTTAAGCAGAACCTATGAAAAACCTAAAATTCATAAACACATGAATTAAAAATGTTCAAAATGAAGATCAAAACATCTTAATATTTAAAAATTTGATTTCAATTGTATAACAATAATAATTACTGCCATTTATTAAGCAAATATTCTTTCCCACTCACTCTGCTAGACTATGTATATATATAATCTCATTTAATGTATGAAGACAGGTATGATGAATAAAATCCTCCTCTTAAAAACCAGAAAACTAAGGTGCAAAGAGGCTCAATAACTTGCCTAATATCCCACAGCTAACATTAGCAAGGCTGGAATTACAACTTAAGGCCACACATCAAGTCTTTCATTCTCTCCTATGCTACATTTGCCAGTTGTTTCTATTAGTTTACTTTTCTTTCTTTTTAAAATCTCACTTTATTGAGGTATGATTGATATACAAAAAGGTAGACCTACTTAATGTATACAACTTGATGAGTTTGAGATAAGAATGCACCTGTGAAACTATCACTGTAATCTATGCTGTGAACATATCCATCACTTCCAAAAGTTTCCTCCCAAATTGTGTGTGTGTATGAACTTAATATAAATCTACTCTCTTAGTGAATTTTAAAATATACAATAGTACTGCCTATATTGTTGCTATAGGCACTATTCTGTACAGTAGATTTCTGGGAACTGCCCATCTTGCGTAAGTAAAATGTTGTACCCTTGACTAATATCTCCCATTTAAAACTAAGAGTGGAAATTAAAGTTCTGTGGAACAATTTTCAAAGAAGAACCTACTAGTAACTAGAACTACTAGTAACCTACTAGTAACTAGTAACTAGAACCTACTAGTAACTTTTACAATACATCAGTCATTAAAGGAATCCTTTAAACTAGACTACTGAAGTAACCAGTTTTTACCAAGCACTAGTAATATTTAAACTCCATGTAGGCAAAATAAATAGTAGTTTTGAAAAAAATTATCCAGATATCTGTAGCATCCACTGCCATCACTACCCCAAAAACAGCCAAAAAAAAAAATCTAATGTGAAAAACAACTTCTGGGTTGTTTCTTTTTCTGTCCAAAATATCAAGATTTGCTCATTCAGCAAGGCTTTACTGAATGCCTGAGATATCCAAGGCAGTGTTCCAGCCACAGAGATGAACTAGACGTAAGCAGTCTGACACAGGAGCCACTAACCACACGTGGCTATTTAGAGCTTGAAACGGGGCTGAATTGAACTGAGATGTGCTGGTAGCGTAAAAGCACACCAGATTTCAAAGTCTTACTATGAAAAAAAGGAAGTAGAATATCTTAGTATTTTTGATACTGAGAGTGAAATGATATTTTGGGCATACTGTGTTAAATAAAACAATTTCCACTGTTGATTCTTACTTTTCGAGTGTGACTACTAGAAAATTTAAAATACGCATAGGATTTGTATCATTTTTCTAGTGAACAGCACTGACCTAGACCAGCAAACACCTGTCTGCCCTGATCATGCATTCTAGTGGAGGAGACATACAAGAAATAAAGAAACTGGTAAATAAAGAATACAATGCAAGCAGTGGTAATTGCTAAGAAGAAAATAAAGCATAATAAAGGAGTAGAGAGGACTGGTCAATATTATTACATTAGTCAGACAATTATTTTTAAATATAATTTCTCTTATTACACAATACTATGCATCTCTTCCTTCACAATACTATTCACCCCTCAAGTTTTTTAGGTTGTATTTACATGAGTAACATAAAGTATACTTTAAAATAAATTATAAAGAATGTAGGATTTGGTATTGAGAATAATTAA